CTCTGGATTACCTTCTCCATCCTATATAGAATAATCTGGAGGGGGGGGGAGAAACACCACTCTGGGACTGAAAATGGAAGGAAACCGAAGCCTCTTCAATTGTTACAACCTGCATTTGTGACTCCAAAGATGGATTGTGTTTTGGGTCCATAGTTGGAGATGCAGATTCCCTTGGGATTCCCTTCTCCATCCCATGCAATAATCTGGAGGAGGATAATCCCGCTCTGGAACTGAAAGGGGAGGGGAAGATCCAAGTCTCTTTCTCTATCGATGCGCTTCAGCCGGGCAAGGAAAGCGGCCCTTCCAGAGGAGGGGATCCTCCCCTCTCCTCACCTGCCGCCGCCTCCGCTCTTCCCGGGCCCGGCCGAGCAGGAATCCCTCGGCCGGGGTCCCCGCCTGGGCGCCGCTCTCCGCCCGGCACCCCCGCAGCCAGCCCGCCATCTCCGGGGGCAGCGCGGCCAGGAGCCGCTCCAGGATCCCCCGGTCCGCCAGCCCGGCTTGGCCGCTCGGCTCGGGCTTCAGCCAGCCGGGGCAAAGCCGCGGCTGCTGCAGGCGGCTGCAGAAGACCGGCCGGGGCTCCGACGACGCCCGGCAGCCCCAGCGGGGGAAGCCCTCCGCCTCCCCGGAGTCCGGCGGCGCCGGCGCCGGCCCCTCCTCGGTCTCTGCGGCAGGAGGGCCCGGCGCTGCTCCCGGCCTGGTCGAGGCCATCGGGCGGGCCGAGCTCCCTTCCCCGCGGCGGCGCCTCCTCCTGGTTCAGCCTCCGCTGGACGCCCAGCCGCTGATCCGAGATCCCTCGGATCCCCCTCCCCTCTCCGGGCGAACGAGCGAGCTCTTCTTCCTAGAGAGACGAGGCTCCGACAGCCCCCCTCCCCTCCTGCGCCCCCCTCCATTTAAATGGATCCCGGCGACCACCCTTCTCCGCCCCTTTGTCACAGGAGGCCGCGCCTGGCAAAGCTGCCTTGTGTTCTCCCACCCCGAGGAACAGATCCCAAGGATCCCTCTGGAAGGGGATCCAGGGAGGGAGTGGGTGGGTGGGAGCTATTGTGGTATATTGAATTCACACCTTCCCCTCCCCCTATTTGTTCAGCTAGTCCTGGAAAAGCTGCCTTGTGTTCTCCCACCCCGAGGAAAAGATCCCAAGGATCCCTCTGGAAGGGGATCCAGGGAGGGGGTGGGTGGGTGGGTGGGTGGGAGCTATTGTGGTATATTGAATTCACACCTTCCCCTCCCCCTATTTGTTCAGCTAGTCCTGGAAAAGCTGCCTTGTGTTCTCCCACCCCGAGGAAAAGATCCCAAGGATCTCTCTGGAAGGGGATCCAGGGAGTGGGTGGGAGCTATTGTGGTATATTGAATTCACACCTTCCCCTCCCCCTATTTGTTCAGCTAGTCCTGGAAAAGCTGCCTTGTGTTCTCCCACCCCGAGGAAAAGATCCCAAGGATCCCTCTGGAAGGGGATCCAGGGAGGGGGTGGGTGGGAGGGTGGGCGCTATTGTGGTATTGAACTCACACCTTCCCCTCCCCCTCTTTGTTCAGCTAGTCCTCGACTTACAACAGTTGATTTGGCGACCGTTGGAAATTACAACAGCACAGCGGAAAGGAACTTAGGACTGCTTTTCACACTTGACGACCTTGTGGCATCGCCATGGTCAGGGGATCTAAATAGAGACGCTTGACAGCTGACTCATACTTATGACCGATGCAGTGTCCCGGGATCGTGTGGATCCCCTTTGGCGACCTTATGAGAAGCAAAGTCAGTGGGGGAAAGTCAGGTTCACTTAACAACCGTGTGACTAACTTCACGACTGCAGCAATTCGCTTAGCAGCTGTGGGCAAGAAAGGTCGTGAAATGGGACGAAACTCCCTTAACAAATGTCATGCTTAGCAACGGTTTTGGGCTCAGTTGTGGTCGCTAATTCGAGGACTGCGTGTTCTTTAAGCCGTGGAAGGCCTGGAACTGCAGGGCTCCCTCACGAAGGCTCTGAATCAGGATTGGACTGGATTTCATCTGGCCTGAGGGATTTCTGCCCTGTTCAGAGATCAGACTAGAATACCCCCTCCTCCCCGCCCAACCTTCAGAGGAGTGCATGATGGGAGATGAGGTACTTCTTTGGGGCATGGAGCTCTCTGCTCCACATCAGCGGAAAAGGGGGTTAATTGCGATTTTCACCTTTTTTTTATTGTTAAAATATCTTCTTGCACTCAGCCTCCAACTGTTCCCATGACAGTCTGGGAACCAAGGCAAAAATCTGTGAAATCAAACTTTAATTTTGGCCTCTTGGGGAGACCAGCAAAAAGTAACAAATGGTGCTTTTAGGCAACCACTGGATCAAAGGGCAGCTGTAAAATCCTTTTGTCTGGGATGCTGACAAAATGGGAGCCTCGTCAAGGAACTTGCTCGATACAGCGTGATTGAGAAAGCTACGCAAGATGTCATGCACAGGGGAGATTTATTTATTTTGTGTCCCACTGTTCCGTTTACAAATAATGGAATACAGCAAACCTATCCTACACACCATCTTCCTCCCATTTCCATAACAACCCTGTGAGGTAGGTTGGGCTGAGAGTGCCTGGCCCAAAGTCACCCAGCTGGTTTTCACAGCTAAGACGGGACTAGTCGTCTGCTTTCTTGCCTGGTGCTTTAACCACTAGACTTAACTGTCTCTCCAACTGAGATGTTAAATCTTGCTTTTTTCCAGCGTTTTTTCCCAGCAGACTTCCTCTACTGCCACAAAATTAAAGCTTTTCCTCTAAATAAGGAAACTCTTTTCTTCCCTCAGTGAAATATGTCCTTCAGTGTCAAAGATGCTACTTCCTTATCCATCTTGTAAAATCACATCTCAGCTCTGGATTCTTTTTAATCTGGTTGTTTTCCTGCCTGCTAAATATGGGCAGCTCCCCTTCTTCCCAAAAATTGCCCTTGGTCTGAAGGGGGAAGAGAATACCTCTGAGGAACGCAGTCAGGCAAACAAAGAGTAATGACTAACATGTTTTTTCAGAGTGTGATGGTACAAAAAAAGTCCCTTGTGTGTTGAGGGACTGTGTCCCCAGTTACATCTGGCTGGCCCATTAGAGTTTGCAGAGAAGGCACGTTGAGGGTGCCGTTAGAATAGAGAATATAATAATATAATATAATGTAACGTAATGTAATTACAATAGGAATAGAATTAGAATAGAATAGCAGAGTTGGGACCTTAGAGGTCATCTAGTCCAACCCCCTGCTCAGGCAGGAAACCCTATACCATTTCAGACAATTGGTTGTCCAATCTCTTCTTTAAAACTTCCAATTAGAGCATTCACAACTTCTGGAGGCAAGTTGTTCCACTGGTTAATTGTTCACTATCAGGAAATTTCTTCTTAGTTCTAGGTTGTTTCTCGCCGTGATGAGTTTCCATCCCTTGCTTCTTGACCTGACTTCAGGTGCTTTGGAGAATAGCTTGAGCCCCCCCCTTCTTTGTGGCAACCCCTGGGATATTGGAACACTGTTATCATGTCACCTCTAGTCCTTCTCTTCATTAAACTAGACATACCCAATTCCAGCAACCGTTTTCTATGTTTTAGCCTCCAGTCCCCTAATCATCTTTGCTGCTCTTCTCTGCACTCTTTCTAGTCTCGTCTTTTTTACATCATGGTGACCAAAACTGGATGCTATATTCCAAGTGTGGCCTTACACTTCACATGATCTTAATTCTATCCGTTAATGCAACCTAGAACTGTGTTGGCTTTTTTGGCAGCTGCAGCACACTATTGGCTCCTTTTTAAGTGATTGTCCACTAGGACTCCAAGATCCCTCTCACAGTTACTACTATTGAGCCAGGTACCACCTATACCCGTGGTGGCGAACCCATGGCACACGTGCCACAGGTGGCACGCAGAGCCCTCTCTGTGGGCACACATGCCATCGCCCCAGTCCGAGGCCTTCAGCTGGGTTTTATAAAACCTTTTCGCTTTAGGCCTCCGCTGCTGTGTGCAAAAAAAAAAAAAAAAAAGGTTCAATCAATCAACCAATTTCAACTTCTCACAGGAAAAAAAAGATTTTGCAAAGTTGGAATTGATCGAACTTTTTAGTCCCACCCAGTCTGTTACCACCAAAGCCACGCCCACCCAATGGGCCACACCCACCCAACACCCGACGATACATAAGTGGGTTTTGGGTTGCAGTTTGGGTACTCGGTCTCTAAATGGTTCACCATCACTGACCTATACTGTACCTACCTCTTGGAACCTATATGTGCCGAGACCCAAGAAACATGCCTTCTCTGCTACAGAGTGGAACATCCTCCCCCTGACATACTTGCTCCACTCCTTTTAATTTTTTGAAAGGCCCTCAAGATTTTGCTTATACTGCCAGCCCTCGGCCTTCCAGGGAACCAGAGATTTGTCTCAATAAATAGCTCCATTGCAGTGGGCGGCCATTTTTATCCATCCTCCGCCTATGGTTAATATTTTTGTTTTTATGATAGTTACTGCTGTGAGTTTTTCAGATTTTTGTAATCTGTTTTACATTGGTTGTTTTATTTATTGTTGTGTGCTGGCCAGATATATCTTTTGGCAAGATATATATATATATATATTTTCTAAGGTTTTCGTGGGTGTTTGTATGTAGGTCTTTGGTTGTTCGGGTTTTCTCCCGCGTAAAATTGGAAGTGTCTTGGCAACGTTTCGACGAAGTCCCATTCATCATCTTCAGACTGGTGTTTTCAGCTTCGTGCTTTGAGGAGCAATTTGCTCCTTGAAGCATGAAGCTGAAAACACCAGCCTGAAGATGACGAATGGGACTTCATCAAAACGTCGCCAAGACACTTCCAATTTTACGCAGCAGAAAACCCGAACAACCAAAGACCTACATACAAACACCCGCGAAAACCTCAGAAAACATCCATTAAAAAATGAAATTGGGGAGCGCAGAAGCCCTGAAAGCCAAACTGAAGAACATCAAAGAACAATTGGGAAACAGCCACCCATGTGAAACGTTGATAGCATTGCTTTGACTGGACGAGAAGTGATGGCAGAAAAAACCTTTGTTTAATGAGTTATGGACACAAAGTCAGAGGATCCTCTCTGAATGGACGCCGCATTGCTTTCGATGGTCCTGCTTTGAATAGAGTTTCTCAAAACCACTGAAGTTCAGCTGGCCCTTCCTGGTACAATTCACTTCATTTAGTTCAGGGTGCTCCACTTTGTGGTTTCACGTTTTCCAGTTTCATTCTTTTCACATTTCCTTGAACATTCCCAATACCCTCACCGCAACTCCATGCTCTATGACAGCATTCTTCTTGGAGGCTTCTTTTTTCCTCTTTTCAGGTGTTCCATTCGCCACATTTTCTTTTTCTTATAGAACATTTTTTTGTGAATATACATTTAAGCCTCAACAGGTAGCAGCAGTTACCAACCCAAGCAGATTTTCAGAAGGCTAAGTTGGGCCAGCAGAATTTGGATCACCTGGACTATCACTGGTGCAGGCTGGAAGAAAAGAAACAATTAAAAATATCAAGCTGGTCCAGTAATACTGCAGAGAACATAATGGACGAATTCAAATTCGGCTCCAGTATTATCAGTCAAGGGCATCTGCACGGGGTCAAACTGATATCCACAATGGCACAGTCAATCCTCCCTCTTTTATGTGCATAAATTCAAATTCTGCTTATATTGTGGCTTTGCTTTTGGGTGAACAGATCAGCAACATAATTCACTCCACACTGATCAAAAGGCATCAGCTGGCCCAGGCAACACATAGAGAAAGTCAATCTATCCATTCAGTGGGGAGAACAGGAAGGGGAAGTTTGGTGTCATGCATAACTGTCTAGTACAGTGTTTCTCAACCTTGACAATTTTAAGGCATGTGGACTTCAATTCCCATGATTCCACAGTCAGCAATGCTGGCTGTGGAATTCTGGGAGTTGAAGTCCACATGCCTTAAAATTGTCAAGTTTGGGAAACACTGGTAGGGTCTCCTGCTTGACCTCCAAGCTCCCTTCTAGCTCTATTCTGATTCACTAAGATGGCTGAGAATACCCCACCAACGGAATTCTACAGAGAACTGGAAGACCCTAGCATTGCCCAGAGGGATGGCAGAAACTGGATTTATAGTGGAGTGATCCTAAGAAGGACATCTATTTTTCCCATTGCCATTTACCCACAGGTGCACTTACCTCAGAAATGACGGACCCTGAGGCAGCCACCTTCTTTATTAATCGGAAAGAAATCGGGGGGGGGGGAATAGCAATGATTCCAATTCATTTTCAAGTAATGACAAGGAGGCTTCCATCTTGAAGAAGTCTCAGCCCTCCCTACTTTTTCCGTGTTCATTTCCAGTTTTCTCTGCTGAGGGGAACCACTTTGCAATCTACGATGGTATATTTTGTTAAAAGTTTCTCCTAAATGAATCAGCTTTTTCTACACGCTGCACATTTAAACTCCATGTAGCTTACTTGAATTCACGTATTTATCTTTATGCGAGTTTGCTCCTACAATTTCTCTTAAAAACAGAAGCCAGAGCGGGTACTGAAAGCATCTCTATAATTCCAGCGTTCCTCACAAAATACTGAAAACATCTCTATAATTCCAGTGTTCCTCACAAAATAAAACCTCTTAGTGGAAATAGGAGCAAGGCCCCCTTTTCACGCTTCAGGTATTTCTATAGGTTCTCCCCCATGGATTCCTTTCGGTCTGATAAGGCTACTCTTCTAACTGAACAATATTTCACAACATAATACACAATTTCTATTGTTCATTTTGGAGACAAAAAAAAAATCTAACACGATTTGGGATTAAGCTCTCAGATTATGATTTCCTTCTTTTATGGATTAGTTCATGTTGAGAAAGGTGGTTTGTCTGGTTGAAGCTTTTCCCACAGTCTGCGCATTTGTACGGTTTCTCTCCCGTGTGAATTCTTTTGTGTTTGATAAGGTTCGCGTTCTGAGTAAAGCCCTTTCCGCATTCCTGGCATTTGTAGGGTTTTTCTCCCGTGTGGATCCTTTTATGGCAAATGAAATTACTGTCCTTACGGAAGCTCTTTCCACAGTCTGCACATTTATGTGGTTTCTCCCCCGTGTGGATTCTTACGTGGACTCTAAGGTTTGAACGCCCACTGAACCTCTTTCCACAAATCAGGCATGCATATGGTTTTTCCCCTGTATGAGTTCGTTGATGATATCGGAGGACAAAATTATAAGAAAATCTTTTTCCGCACTCCGTGCATTGGTATGGCTTCTCTCCTGTGTGTTTTCTTTTGTGAGATGTAAGATGGCTGCTTTTATTAAAACCTTTTCCGCACTCCGGACATTTATATGGTTTCTCCCCTGTGTGGATCCTTTTATGGCAAATAAAGTAGCTGCTGCAACTGAAACTCTTCCCACATTCCTTGCACGTGTACGGTTTCTCCCCCGTGTGAATCCTTTGATGTTGCAAAAGCTTATAGTTCTTACCAAACCCTTTCCCACACTCAGTGCATTGGTACGGATTCTCTCCCGTGTGAATTCTTTTATGTTGCAAAAGGCTACTGTTCTGGCGGAAATCTTTTCCGCATTCCATGCATTTGTATGGTTTTTCTCCCGTGTGAATCCTTTTATGGCACATAAAATGACTGCTCTGGTTGAAGCTCTTTCCACATTCCAGGCAGGTGTACGGTTTTTCTCCTGTGTGCATTCTTCTATGTTGCAAAAGGCTGCTTTTCTGACGGAAGCTCTTTCCACACTCGGGGCATTGATACGGCTTCTCCCCTGTGTGGATTCTTTTGTGTCGCAAAAGGCTACTGTTTTGACTGAAGCTCTTTCCACACTCCAGGCATCGGTATGGTTTTTCTCCTGTGTGGATTCTTTTATGGCAGACAAGGACACTGTTGTCACGGAAGCTTTTTCCACACTCCAAACATATATACGGCTTCTCCTCCGTGTGTCTTCTGACGTGTATCATCAGGTTGGAACTTCCACTAAATTTCTTTCCACACTGCAGGCAGCTATACGGTTTCTCCCCCGTGTGAGTTCGCTGATGTCTTGTCAGTTGACCGCTTTGATTGAATTTTCTTCCACACACCAGGCATACATACGGTTTCTCCCCTGTGTGGATCCTTTCATGTATGATAAGCTTACGCCTCTCGGTGAAAATCTTTCCACACTCCAGACATTCATAGGTTTTCTCCCCTGTGTGGATCCTTTCATGTATGCTAAGTTTACCTTTCTGGGTAAACGTCTTTTCACACTGCAGGCATTTATAAGGCTTCTCTCTTGAGGGATTTTTGGGGGGTAAAAGAAGCAGTTGTTTCCGGTTAAATTCCTTTGCACACTCATATGGTTTCTTATTTTTATGGGAAATAAGAGGACTGTTCAAGCTGAAATTTTCCCCACAATTTATAAATATGTATGGCGTCTCTTTGATATATGATGGGTTACGTTGAGCAAGAGAAGAGATACGATCGAAACTTTGTCTGTCCTCTTCATATTCATGTTCCTCCTCTTTATTCTGCACTGTACAATGTTTACTGAAATCAGATTTCTCTCGGTCTCTTTTGGCACATCTGAGATACTTTCCTGCTTCTCGTTGGGGAATTTGCTGGATTGGGAGGTCACGGGTTTCATTGTGACCCGCAGGAGACATTTTGTTTCCTTCATTCATTCGGCAACTTTTTGTACTCCTTTGTGATGGTCCTCGATTTCCAAGCGTGTCTTCTTCAGACTTTATCATTTGGAAAACCACTATGCTAGGCTTCTTGTTATTCTGCTGCTCCTGCCCATAAGCTAATTTGAAAAAAAGAAAAGAAAAAAAGAAAAGTTAATCATTACTTTCATCCTAGAAAATGGTACACCTGTGATTTCCGCATATCCAAGACTTTGCTAGGCTCCTCTTTGTGTGGTTCTCTTAAATATAAGACCATTTGTTCAGCCGTCAAAGTTACAACGGCAATGAACAAATGGTAGTTATCCCCAGCCTCCAAAATGATACCTGTTTCAATGCTCCTGTGATCATGTAAACAAAATGTGGACCCTCGTCACTCACAACTACAGGGGTGCTTCAACTCCCCTCCCCTGCTTATCTCTACACCTGGCCAGCCACCATTTTGCCACTTCACGATTCATGATCATGATTTATCACTCATTTGTATTTACACTTACAACTTATGCCCCGGAGACAAATTCCTTGTGTGTCCAATCCCACTTGGCCAATAAAGAATTCTATTCAAACTCCTCTTGTTCCACCACTTTGCTGGCCTACACTCTGCTCACCTTACTTAACACACTGCCCCTGCCCTCATCCTTCTGGCCTTGCCACTCTATCCTTGCTGGCCCTGTTGCCCCCGGCTGATGTTCACCGTCTTCCTCCTGATGATGACGAGGCATGGCTGGCCTGGCCCTAGTGAGGCAACAGCCCTTCTTCCCAAGGGCTTTTATATCGTTCTTCAAATAATACGGGTTGTTCAGAAGGCTTCTGAGGCCTTCTAAAATTTACCTCCCAAGAAGGTCAGACCATACATTCTTCAAATTACATGGGCTATTCTCTCTCTCTTGGAAGGCCTCGGGGTCAGCCAGGGCGGAGTGGCAAAGGGTGATTTGACCATGACAGTGGAGAAACGGAAATCTCCCCTCCAATCAGATCACTTTGCCACTGCACAGCCAGAAAAAAAAAACAACAGGTCAAGCAAGTGACAAATATTATGCATTGGATAAGCAGGATGGACCCTTGGCTGTCACGGTGGCCATGAACTCCTGAGCTGAGTCTAAAGTGCCCTTTTTATTTTTTTATTTTTCACCATACACCATACACCAATATGTTTAAAATACATACACCATACACCAATATGTTTAAAATACATAAACATAAATCTTTTCTTTTAACAGAACAGTGCTGTACATTTTAACCATTCTTTACATCTTATTTACATTTTATTTACATCATTAATTATATCTTTTTCTTTCTCTGTTCTAGCCAATTATAACATTTATTCCAAATTTCATAAAATTCTGTCGCCTCCTTGTCTTTTAATTCTAGTGTAAGTTTATTCATTTCTGCACATTCCAAGATTTTATACATAATCCTGTCATTTGTGGGTGCATTTTCACTCTTCCAACATTGAGCATATGCTATCCGCGCTCAGTCAATATGTGTATAGTGATGTGTTGGAGTTGTTTTTCAATCTTTAAATTTATTATGCCCCAAAGAAATAATTCCGGTTTGAAGTCCATTTGTACCTCCGTTATCTCCTGTATCCAATCTCTTATTCGTTCCCAATAGTTTTTTGCTTTAGGGCACAGCCACCACATATGATAAAATGTTCCTTCTCTGATTTTACATTTCCAGCACTTCGGGTCCATGTTTTTATTTATTTATTTATTTATTTATTTTATTTTTAAAATTTATAAACCGCCCCACTCCCGTAGGACTCTGGGCGGCTAACAATAAAACAATATAAAACATAACAAAACAAACAATGCAAAGACAGTCATCCAGGGGTCAGGTTTTATAAACCCCAGGCCTGCCGGAAAAGCCAGGTCTTAAGCAGCTTACGGAAAACCAACAGGGTGGGAGCGGTCCTAATCTCCGGGGGGAGCTGGTTCCAAGATGTGGGCGCCATCACAGAGAAAGCCCTCCCCCGTGGCCCCGCCAAATGGCACTGCTTGGCCACCAAATGGCACTGCTTGGCCGACGGGACCTGAAGGAGGCCCAGCCTGTGGGATCTAACCGGATGAAGGGAACTATGAGGTAGTAGGCGGTCGCGCAAATAGCCTGGCCCTGAGCCATATAGGGCTTTAAAGGTAATAACCAACACCTTGAATTGGACCCGGAGACCAATAGGCAACCAGTGCAGCTCACGGAGGATAGGTGTAATGTGGGTGTATCGAGGAGCACCCACTATCACTCGCATATTGCATTTTGGCCAATCTCGCCGGTGTTAAATGCCATCTATAAATCCTAATGTGCCTTCTGTGGGTGTAGCCTCTTCGTCTCATCCCTTGACATTTATCCAAGCAAATGCATCTTCAGAAATATCCTACACTGTATAGTCACACACTGGCTGAAATTCATGAGGACATTTCAGGTAACAGGGAAAAGGACATCTGATAAGTCCCCGCCCTATCTGTCCCACAGCGAAGTTGGCCCGTCAAGAACTTTCTGAAAATACAATGTTTGAAATACAAACTGAAATTGAGTTATTTCCGGCAAGGATAAGAACTTGTAACGTGCAGAAGGAATGACCTTGAGGAACCTAGAACTAAGGAGAAACTTCCTGACAGTTAGAACAATTAACCAGTGGAACAACCTGCCTCCAGAAGCGGTGAATGGTCCATCACTGGAAGTTTTTAAGAAGAGACTGGACAGCCATTTGTCCGAAATGGTGTAGGGTTTCCTGTCTGAGCAGAGTGTTGGACTAGATGACCTCCAAGGTCCCTTCCAACTTTATTATTATTATTATCATTACTATTATTAATATTATTTCTCAGCAGATAATCTCACAACCCTTTTTACTCAGCATTGAGTAAGAATGATGGCAGTTGTTCCCAGGGGCTGCCCCAAAGAAGAGGGAGTCAAGCTATTCTCCAAAGCGCCTGAAGGCAGGACAAGAAGCAACGGATGGAAACTAACCAAAGAGAGAAGCAACCGAGAACTAAGGAGAAACTTCCTGACAGTTAGAACAATTAACCAGTGGAACAACCTGCCTCCAGAAGCGGTGAATGCGCCAACACTGGAAGTTTTCAAGAAGAGACTGGACAGCCATTTGTCCAAAATGGTATAGGGTTTCCTGCATGAGCAGGTCCCTTCCAATTCTCTACTCTACTCTACTCTACTCTACTCTACTCTACTCTACTCTACTCTACTCTATTCTACTCTACTACTCTACTCTACTTCTGGTAAGCAATCCCAGCTGGTAACTGCAGCATCTCCTGAGATGCCCTAAACTCTGCTGAAGACTAGATGACCTCCAAGATCCCTTCCAACTTTATGATGATGATGATGATGATGTTACCTAGCCTGGTAACGAAACGTTCAGAAACCAACCCACATGCTCGGAGAACGAACCTTCACCCTCATCCTACAGCCAACCTACAGATATTCGCCACTATTGCAAATAAAAGTAGTATTGTCATGCATGACTTTGACTTCCTAGTCTGGTCTGCATTGACAGTCCATTATTCCCTTTCAAGAGAGGGAGAAGAACCTACTTTGGCTTCTAGAGGTATACTATAAAACCAGTTTTAGCCTGTGTGACATTTGTTTCTTAGGCTGGTGTCCCCTGAACTGTGCAAAGGCGAATCCTTTCCAACATGATGATCCTCTGATAAATAAGTAAACTTTAAGATGAGAATAAAAGCTCAGTTGAGAAAGAATCCTGTGAAGCATCTACCAATGGAAGCATCTACCAAATTTTCCATTTATTTGGAATTATGTTAAAAAACAGAGACATCACCCTGCCAACAAAAGTGCGTATAGTAAAGGCCATGGTTTTCCCAGTTGCAATGTATGGCTGTGAAAGTTGGACCATAAGAAAGGCTGAGCGCCAAAGAATTGAGGCCTTTGAACTATGGTGCTGGAGAAGACTCCTGCGAGTCCCTTGGACTGCAAGGCGTTCAAACCGGTCAGTCCTAGAAGAGATCAACCCCGACTGCTCTTTAGAAGGCCAGATCCTGAAGTTGAAACTCAAATACTTTGGCCACCTAATGAGAAGGAAGGACTCACTGGAGAAGAGCCTAATGCTGGGAAAGATTGAGGGCAATAGAAGAAGGGGACAGAGAATGAGATGGCTGGATGGAGTCACTGAAGCAGTAGGTGTGAACTTAAATGGACTCCAGAAGATGATAGAGGACAGGAAGACCTGGAGGAACATTGTCCATGGGGTCGCGATGGGTCGGACACGACTTCGCAATTAACAACAACAATGTTAAAAAACAAAATAAAAAAACAGAATTTCTTCCTCAATCTTGAACGTGCTTTGTCAGCGTTTGGATGATAAAAAGACTTCCCACAATTAGCTAAACCCAGAGCAAAATGGGTCCTTACCAAGAATGGCCACATTCCTAGAATTCTCCAGCATGACATCCACATATAAAGCTCTCTGGCTGGGATCTAGCAGCCTCCATTCTTCCTCTGTGAAATACACAGCCACCTCCTCAAAGGACACTGAACCCTGAAAATCATAGAAAATGTTCCTCAGCAGAAGTGCCAGAAGCCTCTCTCCCAAATTACATTATCCTAAAAGTGAGTTTCACAAGGGAGAAAAATGCTCCTTTTCTGACACAGTGTACTGCCAGGTTTAATAGCTGTCTCTCTGACCAGCTACCTGTCTGGTTAGAATTTCTTCTTTCCACAATTCATCTCAGATAAACCAGTCTGTCGCATCTCCTTTTGTGTCAAAACTTTCATTTCCCCCCCCCCACAAACTGCCATTTTGATATAAAAAAATCCATACCTCACATATATAAAACTTTTAACTGGACCTGCTTCGACATGTGCCCTAATGTAACTGCTCTGATTTGTTTAATGGGGTGTCAGTCGGCCTATTAATGTTTTAATGGAACTTAACAAATTAAAAATGACTCCAGTGCTTTCATTTTTTGGGGGGGGGCTAGATAATTCCTTGTTTTGCATATACCTCAGATACAAAGGATTTACAGGAAGTCCTCGACTTACGACAACAACTGAGCCCAACATTTATGTTGCTAAGTGAGAAATTTGTTGAGTGAGTTTTGGAAATGGGTGTGGAGCCTAAAATCCTTCCAGTCCCCACCATCCAGTGAGATCTGAAGAAGCTTCTTGGATGAGAAGCAAAACGTCTTCAAAGAGAAAAAAGGAAGAACAGTTGCCTCATGAAAATGCATCTTTGGGACATCTTGGAAGTTAGGAATCAAGCTAAATTTTAATCTCAACACTTGACCTCCTTAATAACCTATGTGTGGACTCTCATGGCACAAATCCCCCCCCCCAATTTTCCTGCCCTAAATGAGGCTCCCAACCTGAGCTGTTGCAGTTCCACCACACAAAGGAGATGTTTCAGTGGTTTCCATCAACAACCTTGGGGTCCCTGTGATCAAGATAAAAGGAGATGGATAAGTAATAGCAACAGCATAAGGACTTAATAAGGATTGAGCAGGGGGTTGGACTAGATGACCTCCAAGGTCCCTTCCAACTTTTTTATTATTATTATTATGGATCATCGCACAGTCAGCCAGATGTTCAGACTGGATTTGGCATTTTGTCTACCTATCGAGTCCTTACCCAGGACCTGGATAGGCAGATGTGGATGTTTGATGGTATTACAGATATCGTCGCAGGATGGAAGCAGTTCCTAATAAGGCTGCCTTTTGCAATTGACTAATAGCGAATTTGTCAATGCCAATGGTGTTCAAGTGGTGCTCCCGTTGTTTTGGGATTGCACCCAAGGAGCCTATGACTATTGGTACTACCCTTGCTTGCTTTTGCACAGTCTTTCTATTTCTATTTGTAGGTCTTTGTATTTTGTTATCTTCTCCAGTTCTTTCTCTTCTATTCTGCTATCTCCAGGCACTGCCACGTCCACTATCCAAACTTTTTTGTCTTTCTTATCGACAATTGTTAAGTCTGGGGTGTTATGTTGCAGGTGCTTGTCTGTTTGAATTCTGAAGTCCCAGAGCAGTTTAATTTATCATTTTCTATGACTTTCTCTATTTTATGATCCCACCAGTTTTTGCTTACAGGCAAATGATATTTTTTGCAGATCTTCCAATGCACCATTGTTGCTACTTTGTCATGCCGCTGCTTGTAGTCAGTCTGTGCAATCTTCTTGCAACAGCTTGCCAGGTGGTCCACTGTTTCTTCAGCTTCTTTGCATAGGCGGCACTTAATGTCTGTTGCTGTCTTTTCAATTTTGATTTTATATGCATTTGTCCTTAAGGCTTGGTCTTGAGCAGCCAGAATTATTGTTGTTGTTGTTGTTGTCATTTGTCCTTAAGGCTTGGTCTTGAGCAGCCAGAATTATTGTTGTTGTTGTTGTTATTATTATTATTATTATTATTATTATTATTATTATTATATAACGCTTCATAGTGCTTTACAGCATTCTCTGAGCGATTTAAAGAGTCAGCCTGTTGCCCCCAACAATCGGGGTCCTCATTTTACCGACCTCGGAAAGGTAGCAGGCTAAGTCAACCTTGAGCCAGTCAGGATTGAACTCCTGGCAGCAGACAGAGTGAGTCTTCAATACTGCATCCTAACTACTGTGCCGCCACAGCTCCTTATTTGGAAGATCTGTAACCTGGGTGAGCCACCTATAGGGAAGCACTATAAAATTAAAGCCAGGCTTTTGTGTAGAAGAAACACAAGAATGAAATGACTTCAGGTTCATGGCCTCAGAAGTAACCTGTCACTTACCTGTCAACAAGACCAGAGTTGGATCCTCCTCTGAGAAGCCCAACAGCTGCTCCACAGAGAGACCAGAGAGAGCTTTTCTGCTTTCAGAAGGTATCATGGCCATCTTCATCAGCTGGCCCTGCAACTTAAAATATAACCAGGGTCAAAGAAGAACAAAAGTTAAAACAATTGAACATGGGAACAAGGGGATCATCTTGTGTCTCCAAAATTGGCCTGTGTTATATCCCTAGTTGGGAGATGCAAATTCCCTTGGGATTCCACTTCTCCCTGTGGAATAATTTGGATGGGGAAACATCACTCTAGGACCAAAAGTGGAAGGAAACCAGAGTCTCTTCTACTGTCACGACCTGCATTTGTGTCTCCAAAGCTGGACTGTGTCATAACCATAGTTGGAGATGCAAATTCCCTCAGGATTCCCTTCTCCATCCTATGGAATAACCTGGGTGGGGAACCAGAGGTCTGGGAGCGAAAGGGAGGGAAAACCAAGGTCTGTCCTCTATTGATGCACTTGAGCAAGGTGAGGCAAAGTGACCTTTCCTCCCAGGAGGGGATCCTGCCAGGAGAAGGCAATGAAAGGAAACCAGATCCCCTTGGGATCCTTCCTCCCAGGAGATCCTCCCAGAAGGACCATGCAGTTAAAGGAAACCAAATCCCCAGGGGATCCTTCCTCCCAGGAGGGGATCCTCCCAGGACAAGGCAGTTAAAGGAAACCAGATCCCCTTCGGATGCTTCCTCCCAGGAGGAGATCCTCCCCAAAGGACAAGGCAGTTAAAGGAAACCAGATCCCCTTGGGATCCTTCCTCCCAGGAGGGGATCCTCCCAGAAGGACAAGGCAATTAAAGGAAACCAGATCCCCTTGGGATCCTTCCTCCTAGGAGGAGATCCTCCCAGGACAAGGCAGTTAAGGGAAACCAGATCCCCTTAGGATCCTTCCTCCCAGGAGGGGATCCTCCCAGAAGGACCATACAGTTAAAGGAAACCAGATCCCCAGGGGATCCTTCCTCACAGGAGGGGATCCTCCCAGAAGGACAAGGCAGTTAAAGGAAACCAGATCCCCTTGGGATCCTTCCTCCCAGGATGAGATCCTCATGGAAGGACAAGGCAGTTAAAGGAAACCAGATCCCCTTGGGATCCTTCCTCCCAGGAGGGGATCCTCCCCCCCTCTTCACCTGCCGCCGCCTCCGCTCCTCCCGGGCCGGGCTGAGCAGGGAGCAGCCCTCGGCCGGAGCACCCGCCTGGGCGCCGCTCTCCGCCCGGCACTCCCGCAGCCAGCCCGCCATCTCCGTGGACTGCGCGGCCAGGAGCCGCTCCAGGATCCCCCGGTCCGCCAGTCCAACTTGGCCGCTCGGCTCGGGCTTCAGCCACCCGGGGCAAAGCGGCTGCTGCAGGGGCTGCAGAAGACCGGCTAGGGTCCCGCCGACGTCCGGCAGCCCCAGCGGCCCAAGCTCTCGCTCTCCTCCTCCTCCTTCCCGGGAAAGGGAAACGCACCAGCTGGGCAGGCAGGGAAAGCGGAGCGGCAACCCCCTCCCCGCACGCCGCGCCCCCTCCCCACGCACGCCGCAGCGCAAAGCCCCTTCCGCCTCCGACGAGGCAAGCGTGCGCCTCTTCCTAGAGAGGCTCGCCTCCGGCGAACACCCCCCCCCCGGACCCCGCTTTAAAAGGTTTCCATCCCTCTGCGCCTTTTGTCTTGCGGGAAGCAAGTGCTGGCAAAAATCCCTCGCGCATGCTCCGTTACATTCCGAAGTGTGTGGGGGGGGGTTGGGGGGTGGAAGCTGCTATAGTAGGAGCGCTGGAGGGTTGAAGACCGGGCAGGTTTGCGGGGGGAATCCCCGGGAGTGAGATGGGCGCTATTGTCGAGCTCTCGATCCCTCTCCCCCCCCCCGCACCGGCCACCCTCCTTGGTATACCAGGGGTAGGCAACGTTGGCTCTTTTATGACTCATGGACTTCAACTCCCAGAATTCCTGAGCCAGCCTGGCTCAGCTTGGAAACCTCTCCCTTTCCCCTCAGCATGGCTGGCTCAGGACGGATAGGAATCTGGGAGTTGAAGGCCTAGGCCGCTTTATGACTGGTGGACTTCAATCCAGGAATCCTGAGCCAGCATGGCTCAGTTGAAGCTCCCTTGTCCCCTTGGTATAGGCAACCTGGGCTCTTTTATGACTCATGGACTTCAACTCCCAGAGAATTTCCGGAGTCAGCATAGCTGGGAAGTTGAAGTCCACGAGTAATAAAGAGCCAAACGTTACCTACCCCTGGATAGGCAATCTGGGCTATTTTATGACTCATGGACTTCAACTCCCAGGAATTCCTGAGTCAGCACTAGCTGGAGGTTGAAGCTCCATGAGTCAAAAAAGAGCCGAGGTTGCCTACCCTGGTATAGGCCAGGGGTAGGCCACCTTGGCTCTTTATGCGTCGCGGATTCAACTTCCATTGTAGCTGGCTCAGGAATTCTGGGAGTTGGAAGTCCGCAAGGCATTAAAAGAGCCAAGGTGGCTACCACTGGTAGTCCGCCTTACAACAGTCATTTAGTGAACGTTCGGAAGTTACATCAGCATGGAAAAAATGAACCCTTTTTCACACTTAAACTACCGTGCCGCATCCTCAGGGTCATGGGCTATTTTACGTTCAGATGCTTGCAGACTGGTCATACGTAGGGACAGTTCCAGTGTTTCCCAGGGGTTCATACGATCCCCTTTTATGAACCGGCAAGCAAAGCCCAAGGGGAAAGCCAGATTTGCTTAACACTGATTAATTCATTTTAGTCACTGCAGCAACCAAAGGTGCTTTTTCAAGAGAAACGCACTTTCTGGTTTTTATCTGAAGATGTTTCACCTCTCTTAGAAGGATCAGGGGACGCACAACGAAGAGTGGGGTCAAGCTATTCTCCAAAGTGCCTGACGGCAGGACAAGACGAACGGGTGGAAACGATCCAGGAGAGAAAGCAATTAGAACTAAAGGAGAAACGTTTCCTGACAGTTAGAAACAATTAAACAGTGGAAAACCTACCTACCAGAAGCGGTGAAGCCCAACACTGGAAGTTTTAAGAAGAGACTGGAACAGCCATTTGGTCCGAAATGGTATAGGGTTTCCTACTGGAGCAGGGGGTTGGACTAGATGACCCTTCTAACATCATTATATTATTATTATTATTATTATATTAATAATAATAATAATTTAGGAATTCAAACAGACAAGCAACTGCAAACATAACACCCCAAGACTTAATAATTGTCGATAAGAAAGACAAAAAAGTATGGATAGTGGACGTGGCAGTGCCTGGAGATAGCAGAATAGAAGAGAAAGAACTGGAGAAGATAACAAAATACAAAGACCTACAAATAGAAATAGAAAGACTGTGGCAAAAGCAAGCAAGGGTAGTACCAATAGTAATAGGCTCCTTGGGTGCAATCCCAAAACAACTGGAGCGCCACTTGAACACCATGGGCATTGACAAATTCGCTCCTAGTCAACTGCAAAAGGCGGCCTTACTAGGAACTGCTTCCATCCTGAAACGATACCTGTAATACCATCAAACATCCACATCTGCCTATCCCAGGTCCTGGGTAAGGACTCGATAGGTAGACAAAATGCCAAATCCAGTCTGAACATCTAGCTGACTGTGCGATGATCCATAATAATAATAATAATAATAATTACTATTATTATTATTCATACTCCTTGAAGACAACTGGTCATTTGCATTCTTTTTAAAAGAGTCATTGAGTCCACTTGGAAATTTCTCTGTGTCCTCAAGTGGTGGTGCAAATGGGCGTGGAGCCTTCTTGGAACTGCTGAAAGAACCGTATTGTAGATTGGAGATAGATGATGTCGTATCCCTCCCCCTCTGTTGAGAGAGGGCTTTTTTAGTTTTGACATAGATGGCCTCTTTGACCCCTCGTGAAAAAGCACCTTTGGAACAACCATCACCTGGATGACTGGGAATCTCCATAGACATGGGACAGGGTTATTCTCTTGCACTCAGCTCTCTTCTGCACAAAGCAACAGTGATTATATCAAGGTTAATTTAGCATCTTGGAGGGAGGACCAGTAGAAGCCACAAAAAAGTACTGTTTGGCCATCAAAGAATCAAAGGCTGGCTTTAAAACCTCAGTCTGATGGGGATGCTCGGAGCCTCTTCTGCCCCCCCACTGTACCTCAGGGCTACCTGCAGGGTATCAACCCCCCACCTTCCCTAAAGCTCTCAGAGCAGTCAGGGTAATATGATGCCACAGCCCCATAAATAAGCTTTTTCTGTGACTTGCACACTGTACTAATCCACAATATTTTAACAGAGACATCTTAACTAGAAATTGGACATGACATTTCTATAGTGTTGCTGTAACGTATTAATAATGTGTAGAATGTATTAGACATTTAATAATAATGTAGTTGGAAGGGACCTTGGAGGTCATCAAGTACAACCCCCTGCTCAGGCAGGAAACCCTATACCA